GTTGTGATAGTGCGGGGTGTGTGTGGTTGTGATAATGTGTGTAATGGGGTGGGGTGTATGTGATGTGTTGTGGCGGAGTGGATGGGAAGGGGCGAGGATGTGTGTGGTTGTGATAGTAACGGGTTGGGTGTATGTGTTGTGTGTTTTGGTGAGGTTGAATGGAAAGGGGCGGAGATGTGTTTGGTGGTCTGGTAGTGGTATACGATGAGAGTAAAACACCAATGATCCTGACGAGAGAATGCAGGGCACAAATCAGAGAATTAACCAGTGTTTCTTGTGGTAAAATTTATATGATTCTGTTGTTGAGATATCACTTTTCATCCAAGCATTAAAATTAGAGTTTGATGTCATTCCCATAAACACAACGTTAAGTTTTGACATAAAAACGTCTTTGCCAATTGACTTATCGCAGTTATAATTCTATGAAACGGGTAATTACATAAATATTATCAAGAAAAGCGCTAGATAACTATTTTGCTGTTAGCCAAATTTCATCAGCTTTTGACAAAAACGAAGTGAGGAAAATTTATTTTCGAAAAGTAAATTTACATACAAATGTACAATCTAATGGAAAAATGTAACGTGAAAGAAGTTTTACCCCTTGCAGTGGAAAATGTGAAAAAAAAATGAAAATACTTTAAGAAAATTACATGTTGCTGATAAAACGGTCGATCGGTCTCTGCCATTGTAAACAATGCCAATTTATTTAGTAAAAATGTAATTTATTTTCCAGCGAAGATGAAAGGTATATACATTATATGTGTATGTTAATACGATTTCAATTGTTGTCAAATGTCTTTGCGTGCAATGATAAAATGTTACAACGGTATGTAAATAAAGGGAAGTAATCCTAAGTTACCTGTACAGTACTGTGACGCCCCACATGTTATGACGTCATAGTATATACCACGTGTTCATGTTGTTGTTGGTAACTGAGAAAAGACACAAGGCTTGTTTTGACGTTCGGTTGGCGGTGTGTATCATTCGTGAAAAACTCAAAATGGAGGATTGTGGTAAGTTCACATGATGCTAAATAATTATTTTTAGGCGAGGATTGGTTTCGATTTTATAGGTATTCGCGTCCTATCAATAGCAAAGATCATTTACGGACGAGCCTCTGTGTGTGTAATGCATGCCTATGTTGAAGTCGACTTTCGGTTTATTTGCCTCCTTGAGATAGCACAGATCTGATGCCAACTTTAGAGTGCTACATGTAGCTCACTGAAATAGTATACCGAGAGAACCCAGCACAGTATTCACAACGGACACATTATACTGACTAGCAGCCACCATTTTAGGAACCGGTATGTCCCAATCCGTTGCCTTCACCACATGAGTAAACGTTCAAAACGATGGCCAAAAAATGAGGTAGTACCAAGCATTCAATTTGGAAACACTTGGAAACAGAATGGTTGTTAGGAAGTAGATAGGAAAATATAAAGATGCAAAATGTTGCAACAGCAGTAGCAGATTTATTTTGGTCGCTTTTGTGTACCGAAGTAGAGGGCACAATCCAAAAACCGCGATTCTGCATGGAATTCCCACATACTTTGTTCTAAAATTAGCAGTGGGTAACAGCATGTATGTTTGGTCGACCCCCGACTTCCATGGGGTGTTAAGGCGAGGGCAACACGTTAGATACCCACACTGTAAGACTCCGGGACAGGTGAGGGGACGGTAGACAGGTAAGCCTGCTAAGGAAGAACGTCTTCTTATAGAAATCTAAGCGTATATCTAAACTTTTACAAAGAAGGAATATTGTTTGTATACAAGGAATGGCGACTGGACAAGAATTCGGTAAAAGTCATTTCTATTTTTACTTTTTTCATTGAATTTTCTTTTCAATGTTTAAAACAGAATTTTGTATAACGTAAGGAAATTCTATTTTCAAAAGGTTTTTTCTCTGAGATGTATTGAATCGTCAACGCTAATATTATGTCGTTGATGTCTTTTGGTGAGATAAAAAAAACAAGAAAAAAATATTTAATGTGGTGGTGTGCAGTCAACTCAAATTCGAATGAGTGGAGATTTGCCTCACATGAATTAAACTGCGGTTATGTTGCATGTTTTGCCAAGTCGTCCCGGAAAAAAGACTCTCTCTATGATTGACATATAGTTTGTTGTCGTCCTCTTCCAGTAACAGGCTATTTAGTAGTTGATTTGGTAAGAGAGCTTGAGGTGGACGAACGCCCGGGACGCTGGTCAAATGTACAAATGTAGACTCTCTCTATTTACAATGTACGATCACTTGTTAAAGAAAAATATAAATATAAATATTTAGTTTCTAGGACAGTATTTATTTTTCTATCACCAGCAAAAAACATCTGAGGAGGAATTATATTCATTTATGGTTGTATCAAAGGAAGAATATCGATGGGTGTTCTTACAAACAAAATTAGCACCCGGGGCTCACGTGAGATATATCTAGAACGTTCTGATCAGCGGTTCCGGTTTATGCGAACGTTTTCTGATGTTATTTGAACTCATAAACTAATTATCTGCAGACACTAATGGTGCATAGCTATCTAGTCTAAGGCAACATATCTGTTGACCCTTTTTTATTGATTTAAAAGTATTTTTGGAAAAAGTGATCCGATTTGGGTACTGATCCGATTTGGGTACTGATCCGATTTGAATCCTGCCTACTTACATATGAAAAGTGTACCGTTTTTGGTGCTTGTTTTTTTTTCACGACAGAGGTTTCCGCACGTAATGGATAAAACAACATGATGAACATCCGTAGCGATCATTCTGGTTCCGGTTCGTCCGAGGACCTGAGACTGAGGATATCCCGTCAGACAGGTGGAGGGGGTAAGTGTTGCGTGTACATTGTATATTTGAAGCCAACAAATCACGTAAAAGGATTCAAATTAACACGCTAAGTTAAGCGTCAAGGAAATATTTTAAAACTTATTTCGAATACATTCTGTTTTATAAACATCGTATTGTTGAGAGTGTTATGATACATCGTTTTGTTGAGAGTGTTATGACACAACGTATTGTTGAGAGTGTTATGACACGTCGTTTTGTTGAGAGTGTAAAGATACATCGTATAGTTGAGAGTGTTATGATACATCGTATTGTTGAGAGCTCTATGACACATCGTATTGTTGAGGGCATTATGACACATCGTTTTGTTGAGAGTGTAAAGATACATCGTATAGTTGAGAGTGTTATGATACATCGTATTGTTGAGAGCTCTATGACACATCGTATTGTTGAGGGTATTATGACACATCGTTTTGTTGAGAGTGTAAAGATACATCGTATAGTTGAGAGTATTATGACACATCGTATTGTTGAGAGTGTTATGATACATCGTATCGTTGAGAGTGTTATGATACATCGTATTGTTGAGAGCTCTATGACACATCGTATTGTTGAGAGCTCTATGACACATCGTATTGTTGAGGACGCTTTGATACATCGTTTTGCTAAGAGTGTTATGATACATCGTATTGTTGAGAGTGTTATGACACATCGTATTGTTGAGAGTGTCATGACACATCGTATTGTTGAGAGTGTTATGACACATCGAATTTTTGAGTGTTATGATACATCGTTTTGTTGAGAGTGTTATGACACAACGTACTGTTGAGAGTGTTATGACACATCGTATTGTTGAGAGTGTTATGACACATCGTATTGTTGAGAGTGTTATGACACATCGTATAGTTGAGAGTGTTATGATACATCGTTTTGTTGGAAGTGTTATGACACAACGTATTGTTGAGAGTGTAATGACACATCGTATTGTTGAGAGTGTTATGACACATCGTATAGTTGAGAGTGTTATGATACATCGTATTGTTGAGAGTGTTATGATACATCGTTTTGTTGGAAGTGTTATGACACAACGTATTGTTGAGAGTGTTATGACACATCGTGTCGTTGAGAGCTCTATGACACATCGCATTGTTGAGAGCTCTATGACACATCGCATTGTTGAGAGCTCTATGACACATCGTATCGTTGAGGGCGCTATGATACATCGTATTGTTGAGGAAATTATGATACATTGTATTGTTGAGTGTTATGATACATCGTATTGCTGGGGGTGTTATGACACATCGTATTGTCGAGAGTGTTATGACACATCGTATAGTTGAGAGGGTTATGATACATCGTTTTGTTGAGAGTGTAAAGATACATCGTTCTAATGAGAGTGTTATGACACATCGTATTGTTGAGAGCTCTATGACACATCGGATTGTTGAGAGCTCTATGACACATCGCATTGTTGAGGGCGCTATGATACATCGTATTGTTGAGGAAATTATGATACATTGTATTGTTGAGAGTGCATCGTATCGTTGAGGGCGCTATGATACATCGTATGGTTGAGAAAGTTATGATACATCGTATTGCTGGGGGTGTTATGCCACATCGTATTGTTGAGAGTGTTATGATACATCGTATTGCTGGGGGTGTTATGACACATCGTATGGTTGAGAGTGTTATGACACATCGTATAGTTGAGAGTGTTATGATACATCGTATCGCTGAGAGTGTTATGACACATCGTATTGTTGAGGACGCTTTGATACATTGTTTTGCTAAGAGTGTTATGATACATCGTATTGTTGAGACTGTTATGATACATCGTATCGTTGAGAGTGTTATGATACATCGCATTGCTGGGGGTGTTATGACACATCGTATTGTTGAGGACGCTTTGATACATTGTTTTGCTAAGAGTGTTATGATACATCGTATTGTTGAGACTGTTATGATACATCGTATCGTTGAGAGTGTTATGATACATCTTATTGCTGGGGGTGTTATGACACATCGTATGGTTGAGAGTGTTATGACACATCGTATTGTTGAGGACGCTTTGATACATTGTTTTGCTAAGAGTGTTATGATACATCGTATTGTTGAGACTGTTATGATACATCGTATCGTTGAGAGTGTTATGACACATCGTATAGTTGAGAGTGTTATAATACATCGTATTGTTGAGAGTGTTATCATACATCGTTTTGTTGAGAGTGTAAAGATACATCGTTCTAATGAGAGTGTTATGACACATCGTATTTTTGAGGACGCTTTGATACATCGTTTTGCTAAGAGTGTTATGATACATCGTATTGTTGAGACTGTTATGATACATCGTATCGTTGAGAGTGTTATGATACATCGTATCGCTGAGAGTGTTATGACACATCGTATTGTTGAGAGCTCTATGACACATCGCATTGTTGAGGGCGCTATGATACATCGTTTTGTTGAGGGTATTATGATACATCGTATTGTTGAGAGCTCTATGACACATCGTATTGTTGAGGGCGCTATGATACATCGTATTGTTGAGGGTATTATGATACATCGTATTGTTGAGAGTGTTATGATAAATCGTTTTGTTGAGAGTGTTATGACACAACGTATTGTTGAGAGTGTTATGACACATCGTTTTGTTGAGAGTGTTATGATACATCGTATTGTTGAGAGTGTTATGATACATCGTATCGTTGAGAGTGTTATGACACATCGTATTGTTGAGAGCTCTATGACACATCGTATTGTTGAGGACGCTTTGATACATCGTTTTGTTAAGAGTGTTATGACACATCGTATTGTTGAGAGTGTCATGACACATCGTATTCTTGAGAGTGGCATGACACATCGTACTGTTGAGAGTGTTATGACACATATTGTTGAGGGTATTATGATAGATCGTATTGTTGAGAGTGTTATGATACATCGTATTGTTGAGAGTGGAGAGTGGTATGATACATCGTATTGTGTTATGACACATATTGTTGAGGGTATAATGATAGATCGTATTGTTGAGAGTGTCATGACACATCGTATTGTTGAGAGTGGTATGATACATCGTATTGTTGAGAGTGTTTGTCATGACACATCGTATTGTTTCGTGATAGATCGTATTGTTGACAGTGTTATGATACATCGTTTTGTTGAGAGTGTTAGGAAACATCGTATTGTTGAGAGTGTCATGACACATCGTATTGTTGAGAGTGTCATGACACATCGTATTGTTTCGTATTGTTGAGAGTGTTATGATACATCGTTTTGTTGAGAGTGTTATGACACATATTGTTGAGGGTATTATGATAGATCGTATTGTTGAGAGTGTTATGATGCATCGTATTGTTGAGAGTGTTATGACAAACCGTATTGTTGAGGGTATTATGATACATTGTATTGTTGAGAGTGTCATGACACATCGTATTGTTGAGGGTATTATGACACATCGTATTGTTGAGATGACATGACACATCGTATTGTTGTGAGTGTTATGACAAACCGTATTGTTGAGGACGCTTTGATATATCGTTTTGTTGAGGGGGCTATGATACATCGTTTTGTTGAGAGTGTTATGATACATGGTATTGTTGAGAGTGTTATGATACATAGTTTTGTTGAAAGTGTTATGATATGTCGTTTTGTTGAGAGTGTTATGATACATGGTATTTTTGAGAGTGTTATGATACATCGTTTTGTTGAGAGTGTTATGATATGTCGTTTTGTTGAGGGTGTTACGATACATTGTATTGTTGAGTGTTATGATACATCGTATTGTTGAGAGTGTTATGATAGATCGTATTGTTGAGAGCTTTATGACACATCGTATTGTTGAGGGTATTATGATAGATCGTATTGTTGAGAGTGTTATGATACATCGTATTGTTGAGAGTGTTATGATACATCGTTTTGTTGAAAGTGTTATGATATGTCGTTTTGTTGAGAGTGTTATGATACATTGTATTGTTGAGGGTGTAACGATACATTGTATTGTTGAGTGTTATGATACATCGTATTGTTGAGAGTGTTATGACAAACCGTATTGCTGAGGACGCTTTGATACATCGTTTTGTTGAAGGCGCTATGATACATCGTATTGTTGAGAGTGTTATGATAGATCGTATTGTTGAGAGCTTTATGACACATCGTATTGTTGAGGGTATTATGATAGATCGTATTGTTGAGAGTGTCATGACACATCGTATTGTTGAGAGTGGTATGATACATCGTTTTGTTGAGTGTTATGATACATCGTTTTGTTGAGAGTGTTATGATACATCGTTCTGTTGATAGTGTTATGATACATCGTTTTGTTGAAGGCGCTATGATACATCGGTTTGTTGAGTGTTATGATACATCGTATTGTTGAGAGGGTTATGATACATCGTTTTGTTGAGTGTTATGATACATCGAAATCGTTTTGTTGAGAGTGTTATGACACAACGTATTGTTGAGAGTGTTATGACACATCGTTTTGTTGAGAGTGTTATGATACATCGTTCTGTTGAGAGTGGTATGATACATCGTTTTGTTGAGTGTTATGATACATCGTTTTGTTGATAATGTTATGATACATCGTTTTGTTGAGTGTTATGATACATCGAAATCGTTTTGTTGAGAGTGTTATGACACAACGTATTGTTGAGAGTGTTATGACACATCGTTTTGTTGAGAGTGTTATGATACATCGTATTGTTGAGTGTTATGATACATTGTTTTGTTGAGTGTTATGATACATCGTTTTGTTGATAATGTTATGATACATCGTTTTGTTGAGTGTTATGATACATCGTTTTGTTGATAATGTTATGATACATCGTTTTGTTGAGTGTTATGATACATCGTATTGTTGAGTGTTATGATACATTGTTTTGTTGAGTGTTATGATACATCGTATTGTTGAGTGTTATGATACATCGTTTTGTTGAAGGCGCTATGATACATCGGTTTGTTGAGTGTTATGATACATCGTATTGTTGAGAGTGTTATGAGAAACCGTATTGCTGAGGACGCTTTGATACATCGTTTTGTTGAAGGCGCTATGATACATCGGTTTGTTGAGTGTTATGATACATCGTTTTGTTGAGAGTGTTATGACACATCGTATTGTTGATAGTGTCATGATACATATTGTTGAGGGTATTATGATAGATCGTATTGTTGAGAGTGTCATGACACATCGTATTGTTGAGAGTGGTATGATACATCGTATCGTTGAGAGTGTTATGATACATCGTATCGTTGAGAGTGTTATGATACATCGTATTGCTGGGGGTGTTATGACACATCGTATTGTTGAGAGTGTTATGACACATCGTATTGTTGAGAGTGTCATGACACATCGTAGTGTTGAGAGTGTTATGACACATATTGTTGAGGGTATTATGATAGATCGTATTGTTGACAGTGTTATGATACATCGTTTTGTTGAGAGTGTTATGATACATCGTTTTGTTGAGTGTTATGATACATCGTATTGTTGAGAGTGTTATGCTACATCGTTTTGTTGAGAGTGTTATGATACATCGTTCTGTTGAGAGTGTTATGATACATCGTTTTGTTGAAGGCGCTATGATACATCGTATCGTTGAGAGTGTTATGATACGTCGTTTTGTTGAGAGTGTTATAATACATCGTTCTGTTGAGAGTGGTATGATACATCGTTGTGTTGAGTGTTATGATACACCGAATTGTTGAGAGTGTTATGACACATCGTATCGTTGAGAGCTCTATGACACATCGTATTGTTGAGGGCGCTATGATACATCGTATCGTTGAGAGTGTTATGATACATCGTATTGTCGAGAGTGTTATGATACATCATATTGTTGAGAGCGCTATGATACATGGTCTTGTTGAGAGTGTTATGCTACATCGTATTGTTGAGAGTGTTATGATACATCGTATTGTTGAGAGCGCTATGATACATGGTATTGTTGAGAGTGTTATGATACATCGTTTTGTTGAGATTGTTATGATATGTCGTTTTGTTGAGAGTGTTATGATACATGGTATTGTTGAGAGTGTTATGATACATCGTTTTGATGAGAGTGTTATGATATGTCGTTTTGTTGAGGGTGTTACGATACATTGTATTGTTGAGGGTGTTACAATACATTGTATTGGTGAGGGTGTTACGATATATTGTATTGTTGAGTGTTATGATACATCGTATTGTTGAGAGCTCTATGACACATCGCATTGTTGAGGGGATTATGATACATCGTTTTGTTGAGTGTTGTGATACATCGTATTGTTGAGAGTGTTCTGATACATCGTATTGTTGAGAGTGGTATGATACATCGTATTGTTGAGAGCTCTATGACCCATCGTATTGTTGAGAGTGTTATGACACATCGTATTGGTGAGAGTGTCATGACACATCGTATTTTTGAGAGTGTTATGATACATCGTAGTGTTGAGAGCTCTATGACACATCGTATTGTTGAGAGTGTCATGACACATCGTATTGTTGAGAGCTCTATGATGCATCGTAATTTTGAGAGCTCTATGACACATCGTATTGTTGAGGGTATTATGATAGATCGTATTGTTTAGAGTGTTATGATACATCGTATTGTTGAGAGTGTTATGATACATCGTATTGTTGAGAGTGTTATGATATGTCGTTTTGTTGAGAGTGTTATGATACATTGTATTGTTGAGTGTTATGATACATCGTATTGTTGAGAGTGTTATGACAAACCGTATTGTTGATGACGCTTTGATACATCGTTTTGTTGAAGGCGCTATGATACATCGTTTTGTTGAGTGTTATGAAACATCGTATTGTTGAGTGTTATGATACATCGTATTGTTGAGAGCTCTATGACACATCGTATTGTTGAGAGTGTTATGATACATCGTTTTGTTGAGTGTTATGATACATCGTATTGTTGAGAGTGTTATGATGCATCGTAGTGTTGAGGTTGTTACGATACATCGTATTGTTGAGAGCTCTATGACACATCGTATTGTTGAGGGTGTTACGATACATTGTAGTGTTGAGTGTGTTACGATACATTGTATTGTTCAGTGTTATGATACATCGTATTGTTGAGAGCGCTATGAAACATTGTCTTGCTGAGAGCGCCATGATACATCGTATTGCTGAGAGCGCCATGATACATTGTATTGTTGAGAGTGTTACAATACATTGTTTTGTTGGGAGCGCTATGATACATCGTATTGCTGAGAGCACTATGCTATATTGTTTTGTAATTTCCTATTAACAGATGAGGGGTCAAACACGGACCAACACCTCCAGCTCGAGTGGGATGCGTATGCTGACGCCGGATACGACAACCATCGCTATGACAACGACTACTTCCGGTGGATTCGGGAATCTTCGTCCGACCATGCATTATCTTTTGAATCGATTAGACAGGAAGACAGTCGATTTCTTGGGACATTTACGAATGGAAACGAGGTTGAATTCCATTCTGTGGCTTCAACCGAGTATCTCAGTGTGGAAGATGACGATGTCAACCAAACAATAAGATCAGAAAACCAACAAGTCGAACTCACATTTCCGAAAATGGCATTGAAGTTGAACTTGGATGTCACCGTTTCCGATGTTGACCCCGCTACAGGAAAAATGGAACTCACGTGCTCCGCGGGAGATGGAACAGAGAAGTATACCGGATTATATAGGAACGGAAACATCGCAAACTGTGAAATGTGGCTGAATGGACAATGTCTTCAGCAACAAGCTACTAGGAGTTCGTCCTCGGATATAGAATTGACTTCAGAAGGACCTTTATTTTCTGAATCTGAAAGTTTTAGTTCGGAAAACCTTAAATCGTCTTCAGACTCAAAATTGTCTTATCACACAAAAGCCACAAACACTTACGATGGAATTAGTACGGAACATTTGCAGACTCGCTATGATCATATAGAGAGAACATCTCGTCTGTTAAATTTCTCAGACGAAGAAGAAACCACTATTTTGAATGGTCAAATTGTAGAATCATCTACTTCATTAGATCGACTCATCGCCTGGTACAACAATGGCTGTAGCTCATCATTTGAATCACGTGACTCTGATCAAGAATATTCACTCGCATGCGGTAGTTATAAGTGTATTTCTTACAAGGAAATTAGGGACATTTTCGGTCTCCTCCACACAACGGATTTACCGTCACCCCCGTCTAGCCCGCCGTCATCTTCGAAAAGTTTGGAGGAGGCACATGATTCTGAGTCAGATAGTTCTGTGACGGATTTCGGGGACAATACCTCGCCGCTAAATGACAGCCGACCATCTTGGCTTACAATTTACAGAAGCAGTACGCAGTTTGAACCAGATGACAGAAACACGAGGTCAGAATTAAGTCGTTTACACGAACGCACCTCTTCACTTGATGATGGTTCTGTGGCATTAGACGGTCCAAGCAATCAACAATGTAATTCAGGGAAGACAACAGCAGCAAACCGCCATAGACGGACATTATTGGATTTGTCTGAAAGTGATGAGGAGGCAACAGACTCATTCTCTTTGAGGCGAAACTCAGAGGACAATTATTCTAACCCAGAAGATTTTTTTTCTAACACAGAGGACAGTTATCCTGTAGGGGCAACTAGTAATTCAACGCTCAGTTGCGCATCCAATGGCATTCAAACCCAAGGAATTACCGAAGATTTGTGTGCACAGGGAAAATTTAGTCGGATGAAAATCGATTCTTCTTCAGCATTATTTGATTCTGCTCTTGAGACCATGCTACAAGAGGTTACTGACAGTACAATACCCTATACAAGTAGCCTGACATCCTGGGATACGTCTGCAACTGTAGACGTAACTGTTAAACGTGGAGACGACAAAGACTATGATAATGTGTCAAGTATTTTTCACATCGCGCATGACCTTGCCCCACTGTCGTCCTGTCCTAATCTTAGCGATCTAACGTTTGATTCCCAACCTCCTACTGATATTGAGACCAACGAAAACCCACGTGAAACACAATCCGGAAGTGTGGAGTCTAACGTTGACACGCGTCAAACACTTTCCGGAAGTGTGGAGACAGACAACGACACGCGTGAAACAGTATCCGGAAGTGAGGAGACAGACAACGACACGCGTGAAACACTATCAGGAAGTGAGGAGGCTAACGACGATACACGTGAAACACTATCCGGAAGTAAGGAGACAAACGACGATACACATGAAACACTATCCGGAAGTGAGGAGACAAACGACGATACACGTGAAACGCTATCCGGAAGTGAGGAGACAAACGACGATACACGTGAAACACTATCTGGAAGTGCTGTCTCTTCAGGAGGAATCATCGATGTTGAATCTTACAGTGAAACCTCTTCTGATAAACAACAATATGAAACCAGCGCGTTCGTTGCTGTTTATAGTTTAACAGATATAGTAAATGAAAATACAGGACATGCCGTTGATTATGGCTGCAAAACTGAAACTCAATGCAACCCGGATACAAATGCGAAAAGTTGTGACGGGGAAGAGGATTCGTTGTTTTTGTTAAAGCTAGTCCCTTCTGAGGAAGTAAAACGCAAGCAGTCATATAATTTAACGCAGGAAGACCACGAACTGTCTCCTGCAGAAAATGACCGAAAGATTAATGAAGAGAAACTACGAGTTCTTGCCGCCAGTTACGGTTTGTTGGACGATTCAGAGGAATTAGGAGGTTACGAGAGCTACGACAGCGATGATGGCAAGATGGCGGTTGATCCCTGGATGGACAAAGTCAAGTCACCGTATCTGTCAGATGATACTTGTGACGTTGCTGTTGATTCGTCAGTGACGTCCGATGTTGATCCTGTAAACAAAGAACGACATCTGGATGGATATAAAATACCATGTGAGGTGGGTACAAACGATACGGCGAGACAAACAAGCTCGGCTACCTCATCATCGACCGCCGATCAAGAAGACATATCAGGTGCTTCTAGTTCTACTATCACTTCGTGTGAAAACAGCGAAACGGATATTTCAGCAAAACCTAGTTCTACATACGATGTCATAGGGCCCTCACTGTGTGAGAAGGATAGTACGAACTTCTGTTCAGCCGATGAAATCCAAAAGAGACTACATGAACACAAGCAAAGTCGAGCCTGTCACAGCAACGATTCGTTGTTCAGTTTCAGTGAACAAGACCAGGTTGACTTTCTGATGAAGTTTCAGCGTTATGTTGAGTCACTTGAAATATGTATCTTTGACCGCCGTTCACCGCGCAGTAAGAATAGTGATATGGTGTTTCATGCGGATGATGGGTACTTCAGCTGTTTCGATGAGAATCAAGTGAAAGAATGTAATCTACGAAAGTTCCTTGGAAATCAGGTTGATCCTTTGAAGACTGAAAACGTGGAGTCGATGAAAATGAACCAGTTGACCGATCCGAGCGACTTGTTGGACGACATAGCAAGGAAGTTGGCAACGCGAATTATTAGCGACATTTCTCTTTGTCAAGAGAAATCTAATTCAACTTCTCAAAGTCTTTCGGATGCAACATATGGAAACGGGTACTCTTCTGACCATGTGTATTGGCTTTCATCAGATGAAAGCTTAGACACACGTTATTTATCTTCAACAGAAGACTCGGGTCGGAATACCAGGCCTACACCAAACGCAGTATTTTCTTGTCCTTACTTTGACGATATCTCGCGTCTGGATGTATTCCCACCTTCCGTTGATGACGTAGGGAAATGGCCAATTTCTACAATGTCTGTAAATGACCTAGCTTCAAGATCACACTCTCAGTTTATAGACTTGTTTAACACTGAAAAACATGCCGAACTAATAAATTATTCACTAAATAATTACCAGGAGGTAGAAGAGGACGCGCGCGTCAACCTTTCTGACAATAAATACGATCAAAGCTGTGTTTGTGACAGTAATACTGAATCGTCTGTGAGTGAGGACGACATTGCACGCATGCCATCCGACAGATATTCGTTTTCTGTTAATTCTCGAACCTTCATACAGCATGTCAACTATGACACGGATAAAAGAGACACCTCGAAAGGGACAATAATGGCTGAGGTAGAACGCGAGGCTTTGTCACAATATGCATGTTTGCTGGTTAAAGAGGTAATTTCTTCTGCGCATAAAAAGTTCGTGTGGAGTATGGAGGGTCTTCAAGAAAAAGACAATAAAAACGATGTGTCGACTTCCTCAGGATCGGAATCAGCAAGCTCCGTCGAGGAATTGGTATCGTCAGAAAGTCTAACTAATCAGGTCAACACGGATAAAAATGAAACAAACAAAGACGAACACAGTGGTGGCAAATCTAACAAATGCCATTCGGACAATAATTCTACCTTAGTTGTAACAAGCTGTAGAGATTACACACCACGAACGTCGTCTCTGGACTACTGCCGTACTGTAGTAGCTACGGGTTTATCCAGTATAGCTATTCGCCAAGGTATGAACGAACTCAGACTTGTGGCTTGTAAGGAATGGCATAATCGATCACTTTCGTCAGGATCCTCAATTGACCTATCTGCCATTGAAACAGATTTAAGTGAACAGGAACCGGAAGTTGACAATTACACCAAATACAAATCCAAATTAAGGGAACTGAAAATGCGACGTCAGCGAGGAAACAGATTGGAGCAAAATAAAGAAAGATTGACCTCGAGACCTGTGGAAAAGAAATATTTACAACATCATCAATTTAGTGAATCGTCCTCGGATGAGGCTTCAGACGATGATAGCAGTCTAAATGATGACGATATGGAGGAATGTGAAAGACAAATTATTGCAGCTCTACATAGAGAGAATAACGAAACCACAATATCGGAGATAGAACATATTCTTGACACAGAAACGATGATGTTAAAGGCGAAACAGGCACATCACTTACGTCGCTTAGAAAAATATAGGAGGAAGGCCGAATCGTCATCACCAAGTGCACTTTGTCCTGACCATGACGATAGCTTGCATTCATCCAAGCAACCACAAAGTACATCTTGTTGGTGCACTGTCGAGAAGGCAGAAGCTGTGAGAAATATTGCATTTGAAGTACTTAAAGGAAAACAGTTACTTAAAACCCAGCAGTGTATTTCAAAAATGGAAGACGAGTTAATGGCAATGAGAAAGAGAATTGGTGCTGGGCAAAAGGCCATATTCAATACTAAGTCATTGGATTCTCCTCTTTACCAGACCACTGACGATCAGGCGAAACTCGTAATGAAAACGGAAACAGAAGCTCTTAAAACTTTCCTATACAAAAACATGGAAGATTTCGAAAAGGCCATAATAGAACGGCCTATTTTCGGTGCTGGGGATTTGAAAGGGATTGAAGATCACACTCAAGATTTCACGGCGTTTGGACGTATCATAAACCAGGAAATGAAGGAGTTCAAAGACACCGCGAACATAACCTGGGAGGATATTCAAGATCACGTCAAAAAGGAATTCGAAAATTGTTTATACCCTGAGGGAAATGAATATTCAGTTCAAAACAACGTAGATGGTTTTGAACACCAAGAAGGAACCAAACAGCAGGTTAAAGGGGATTCCGAGGAATATAAACATCTAATGAAAGAGGAACCGGATGATGTTCCTGCCGATGTGACCTCAAAACTAACGCGAATCGCTGAAAAGGCATTCAGGTTACATATGTCCCGACAATTCCTTACAGAGGAGTACAAACAACTGAAGGACAATCGACTGGGAGTAGACTTAGCGGCCCAACTGCCGTCGGAACTTAAGTCGACTGAGGTGGATCTCCCTCCGTTCATAAAACCAAGATGTAGCATTTGTAAACTGCGCAAGAAGGTCAACAAAGTCGACACTTCTGAAGCTAATGAGAAATCACTGACCAATAACACCATGGAAAATAAACGGGGTTCGTCGACTACAATCAAACGTTTTGGAGGACATGAATATGAGGTAGTAACCGGATGTGGGATTAGGAAACATACGGTGTCATGCGCATTGTGTAAAGCGATGGAAGATGTCGGCGTATAGTCAGCAATAGGAGAGACGGATTTCCCCCTTTCGATTCTTAAATAATACCGTAATGCTACATGCTGATCAATTTCTACGTAACATTTATTGTAAGAGTCGATTGAAGTTTTGCAAAACTGTGCCACTGTTTCGCAAAACAGCTAAACAAAACTTTTTATATTAAATATCTCCTAAGGGAAAGCATTGCGGTCGTCAACGGAAAATCTTGATACAGTAATCAAGAAACCGATGCTTTTTAAGTGGTCCTTTATACCCTAGGCGTTAACAACATTCACGTCGTCTGCAATTGTATGCAGTGCCGTAAATACGGACAAACACGTGACTTTTATTAAATATTCAAACAAGAAAATAAGTTTTGAAATTGTGTTTCGTTTACCGTACACATATCAAGGGACTATATTTGTCTGCGTCGTGATACATTACAGTCGATATAAGGCTCAAACATGGCGCTTATATATAGCCGTTTGAGAATCAGCAAGGCGAATAACAAGTTTTTCATGGAGTTCTCAAAGATTTTTTTACAGACAGTGACGTTGCAGTTTAGTGGAATGCATGATTGTTTTCTTAGGATTATTTTACTTTGATAATCACGCATGGTATATCTTTTAATGAAACAGCCAAGATTGCGACCATTGGGTAACGTAGAGGAGGTTGACATGAGAAAGACAAAACCAAACTTCTTTAATAAGTGATGGTAGCTGGGTAGATAATTCCTCCCTCCTTTATGATAATCTGGACTTAACTTTGGGGCTCTGTGGAGGGTTTAAAGTCAATTTATCACCCCTCGGGATGCGTTTAAATGAGTGTATGTTGTTTATCGATTGTCGGTGTTTTGATTTTCTATGCTCGCTTGTGGAATTTGAAATTTAAAAAAAAAGACTGATTGGAGAAATTCATGTGCAATGTACCTTGGAGTTTAACTCTATAATGTTTGATGATCCTGGGCCTGACCCAACCCCTGATATGATAACAAATTTGTCGAAGCACCAAGATGATACAAATATATCAACTTGACATTTCAAGGTAGGATTTGTAATCTTAAGTATGGCTGGGTGGTGCAGTGGAAAGCGAACTTGCCTTTCACCAACACGGCGTGGATTCGATTCTCCGATCGGACGTGAAAAAGGGATGGGTTGGTCAACTGTCCCGCCACGCCGGTTTTCTCCGGGTACTCCAATTTCCTCCAACATTCAAACCCTTGCGCGTTACCATCCGGGCCACCAGGAGTGACTAATATAATTTGATAAGCTTGTTTCGTTATTGTTATACAATAAAGTTTATATTAATGTTAGCTTATTTCATTAGCGTTGGAAATGCTCTTAAAAATTGGAACTATCAACAGGTTGACACCCTGTGAGAACGTCTGCTAATAAGAGTGAAGTTACCGTTGCAGGACCTAGTTTACTGACAGTGGCATGCGCAGTGCGCGCTGTGTTGCTGACGTGTCCTTGTAAGGCCATTGTGACTCTAGCGTGTTAATTCGCATGTACAGTTTATGAAACATAACTTCATTCATTTAGTAATTGTAAAAAGCTAGGGAATTACCCTGCGGCTATAAGTTATATTAAAACAATGTACGAAACTGTGCGTCGATACACGCTTCTAGCTCTCTCTAGTGACTCCTTCCGCGTGCGCCGGAGGTATGGTAGTTGTCTGTGTGCATTCGGAGATAGTTATCGCCCCTTAATATTCAAGCATCTAATACACCTCGACGGAATGTTATTGCTTTCGAATTACATTAATAGACCGGCTGAATGATATTAATCTAGCAAATGACTTTCTTAATAATCTATTAGACTGAGAGCACGGATCATTTACTTCTTGTCTTTGCGTGACCTCGGACGGGTTCTATGACTGGCGAGGACTGCCGCATGCATAAAGCGATCAAGATGGCGGACGGTCGTGAAGTGAACAATCTATTTGTTTGATATGTGTTTTAGGGATTTGTCCAAATCCCGTGGGAGCTATGCCTCGTCAAGATCGATTTCTAGTAAAGATAAAGTCATTGGCTGAATACTCCATTTACAGAGTTCAAAGACAACTCACCTGTTGAGCGCGTGAGTTCCAGAGCTCGTGATTACCTGGCCGAACAAGGCTATCGTTGTGATGATCCCAGACGTGTGTCAGAGCAATCACAAACCTCACTTCATTTTTCAATTTGCTAAATTAGATGAATTAATAACAATATTTATTCGTGTCAATATCGATAGGGTAATTATGTCCTGATTATATGGAAGGGGAGGGGGGACGAGGGACAGAAAATGGAATTACCCAACTTCTAAGGCAACGGTGAATATATACAAATAATGCTTTATAATTTCAAAGAGTCTTATAAGAAACCGTTTTATTTCTTATCAATTATTTTATCTTTCTGATCATACCGATAACAGGTTGACCAGCTGTGTCATTATTTCTTCCTTTAAAATTCCTATTAATTTTAAGCCTCTTCATTTATAATCCTGTAAATAATATTACAGAAAATTAATCAAAATAATACTTATTTACATTTTCTCAGTTTGTAAAGCAAAAAATTAAATCTTGAGTAGTGTTCTAATGAATATTCTTTTTAAGATTCATTATGAATTAGTACACTCTCGTGGATATTTCAAAGTGAAATACTGTAAAACCAGCAGTTATAACATGTATCCTCTGATAAAAATCACCTTTCAAAAGAATCGGTTTAAATTGCGTAAAGCATACTCTTAGTTCAAAGAAATCTCCTCAATGAAATCTGTATTGCATATTGAGTTTAATAATGTGTATCATATTTAGAAATTTTACATCAAAATAGTCTTTTAAAATGGCTGTTTTAAACCTGTTATCTGATCAGATATCAATAACCTTTTATGGAGGGTTCGTTTGAGTTGATGAATAAGCAAGTTCAAGAAGTTAATCTAGAAAGCGTCGGAGCGTTGAAAACCTGTTAGAAACCGGTTCATAAATTATTTTATCAGATTGTCGGAAATTCTTTAAAAGAATTAAATAAAACGTTAAAGATAACATCAATGCTGAGGGTAATTGCTATTTCATAGAATTATTATCAGAATAATATGTCACATTTTCATTAAAATTGTCAGTGGCAAGTTTTAATTATTTAATCTGTGAATTATGGAGCCGCTAATATAAAATTGATTTCTCCAACAAAAAATTGTGCTGTTGTTGGTAGCGTGTTTAGGTAAGTTATTTAATCATAGGAATTTCAATTTTCAGGGAGCAATATAAAAGTTTGCGTATTGGAAGTTTGCCAATAGAGCTTTTGTCGTATATTTTCACCCAATCAGAATAAAGTAGAAAGAGAAAAACAAATGCAAATAAAAAATGAAAATGAAACACATGAAAATTCAAAATACAAACAATTAATTTCCGAATAAAAAGCAGACCCTCTCCCAGCCCGCATATATGTAAATTAGCGGAATTAGGGAGTGTTTACGTTGTCTTAAAAGGATAACGTATTTACAAACGTATGCTTAGTATTATGTAGAATTAAGTTCATGCTATTGTACAAGACGTGATTAGGTCATGATCGTAATTTAAGGTTCACGGAATCCAAGGAGCGGTTCATTGAGACATGTAAATATGACGTAAAGCATTACCCGATACAAGTAAAATAAGCTGACGAGCACTACCCTAGACAAGTAATAGTAAACAGTGAATTAGTTCAATGAGATAAGTAAAATAAGTGGTAGAGCACTACCCGAGACAAGTTATATAAACAGTGAATTGGTTCAGTGAGATAAAATAAATAAGTGGTAAAACACTACCCGAGACAAGTAATATAAACAGTGAACATGTTCAGTGAGATAAGTAAAATAAGCGGTAGAGCACTTCCCGGGACAAGTAATATAAACAGTGAATTGGTTCAGTGAGATAAGTAAAATAAGTGGTAGAACACTTTCCGGGACAAGTAATATAAACAGTGAATTGGTTCAGTGAGATAAGTAAAATAAGTGGTAGGGCACTACCCGAGACAAGTAAAATCAACAAGAGAGTGATTCAGTGAGACACGTGAAATAAGTGGTAGGGCACTACCCGAGACAAGTAAAATCAACAAGATAGTGATTCAGTGAGACACGTGAAATAAGTGGTAGGGCACTACCCGAGACAAGTAAAATAAACAAAAGAAAATGACACGAGACAAGTGAAATAATTGGACATGGATGACAATAAACCGCGAAGCTGAGTGGTTCAGCGAAAAATGTGAAATAAGCTGTAGAGTTGACCGAACAGGAGGTTGTCGGATTGCTACCAGTGTAAACGTGTCAATATAAAAACCTATAACTGTCAATCTATCAACAAAGCACCATTAAATCTCATAATATCTGTTCCAAAATAACTCCGATGTATTCCATACTTGTTCGAAAATGTAAATTTAATTGAATCGATTTTAAATTTCTAATATAAAAAAGTCTAATACGTCCTTTCACCTCAGGTGAGCGTTAGGTGCAAATTGAAACAGGAAATTGTAATTATCCGTGTATGAACGTGATAGAATTTATCGATTCGCGTTATGAAGTGTCAAATTTATATGACATTTAATTTGGTAAATATTTTATGAGTACCAATGCTGTCATTCAAACTATTGGATCGCGCGTTTGATACAATGTAGGGACCGCGACACCTCGCGCGGTACTGGACATGCGCACAAGATGACGGGTACAGGAGCGACACCTAATCGAATTAGATGTGGACAGTACGAATGGAAAATCGATAGTGGGTAAGGCAACCAATTTTAGACATTCATTGCAATGTTTACACACAAATTAGGAATGACAGAATTTCTGTTTGGGAAGCTTTTATTTCTAACGGGTATAATACAGAATAATGGACCGCAATGGCTGTCGCCTTGTCTGGCTGGCTGGAATAGAAAATATCAGCTTATTGTAGGTCTGCGCCAGTACAGCTAGTTAGGTTCATTTGTACGGAGTAACTCTGTTGCACTTGTCATTTCAATTTCATACAAAACATTATTTTAAAATTTTCTAGATTACTGAAAAATACAGTAATGTCTTGAGCGGAAATTAACGTAAATATGAGGGGATGGGGTTGTCCTTATTCATAATATACATTTATATTAGGCGTTAATATAATTTGATAAAGTATATAATCGTATTCACAACGGCATAGTACGTATGCTGTTGAGGTCGAGTCTGATTTCCCCTTGACACATACGACACGTGTTACACTGTCGACTTATCTATCCCAAAGCATGCATGTATCGTAAAGGCGACTTGGGTGGATCCGTCCGGCCTTACTCCCTCCTTCTGTTTTTGACAAAGAAGGGATCATAATTGATCTGCTGCCCCCATTGCAACTTTTTAAGTTTTTATTCATTTTTCTATCTTTCCTATCTGCTACTTTCCCCCTGTCTACCCTCTCCCCTGTCTACCCTCTCCTCTGTCTACCCTCTCCTCTATCTACCCTCTCCCCTGTCTACCCTCTCTCCTGTTAACCCTCTTCCCCGCTCCCCTGTCTACCCTCATTTCTACCCTCACCCCTGTCTAACCTCTCCCCTTTCTACCCTTTCGCCTGTCTACCCTCTCCCTATCTACCCTTTCCCCTGTCTCCCCTCTACCCTCTCCTCTATCTCCCCTCTCCCCTGTCTTCCCGCTCCCCTTTCTGCCCTCTCCCCTTTCTACCCTCACCCCTGTCTAACCTCTCCCCCCTCTACTACCCTATCCCCCGCCTACCCTCTCCCCTGTTTTCCCTTGCCCCTGTCTCCTCTCCCATGTCTACCCTCACCCCTGTCTAACCTCTCCCCTTTCTACCCTTTCCCTTGTCTACCCTCTCCCCCGTCTACTCCCCTATCCCCCGTCTCCCCTCTCCCCTGTTAACCCTCTCCCCCTCTCCCCTGTCTATCTTCTCCCTGTCTATCGTCCCCCCTGTTTCCCCTCTCCTCTATCTGCCCTCTCCCCTGTCTACAATCTCCCGTATCTACCCTCTCCTCTATCTGCCCTCTCCCCTGTCTACAGTCTCCCATGTCTACCCTCTCCTCTATCTACCCCCTCCCCTGTCTCCCCTCCCCCCTTTCTACCCTCTCCCTTTTCTACCCTCTCCCTTTTCTACCCTCTCCCTTTTCTACCCTCTCCCTTGTCTACCCTATCCCCTGGCTACCCTCCCCCCCGGCTACCCCCCCCCCTGTCTAACCTCTCCCCTTTCTACCCTCACCCCTGTCTACACTCTCCCCTGTCTACCCGCTCCCCTGTCTACCCCCTCCCCTGTCT